ATTTTTGACAATTTTTTTTTTTACAATTGTATTGCTAAGTTTAGTGAGTTATGTCAAACTAACTATAAATTTACAAAAAAAATTGTTTTACTTTTTTAAAAAGAAAAAAATCTATTTAATAGGCATATATGTTTAGCATAATTTTAAAACAACTATTAGTAAGTAGTTTTTCATATTATCGCATGAAATACTGCATGCACCACACTATGGAACACAACTTTAAAAAAAAAAAAAATTACGGATATGTTTTTTTTTTCCTTGAGGAATAAGAGATTGACCCTTGACAAAACAATTAGATCATTTAGATAATCATTATATGACATCAGTTAGGCCAGGTTCACATCTAACTTCACCTTCACTTTCACCTATCCTTTGATCTGCTGGACCGTTCGGGCACCATACAAGATCTGTCAACCTTCTTTCTCCATTCTCATATGTCATTTTCCTTTGGTAGAATTTTAATTTGATATATTTTCTGAAAACATTAAAACCTGCTTTTTTACCTGCCTGGTTGGACCATTTCGGAGTCCGTTTTGAGTTTGTGTTTAAAAACAAAAATGTCTTTGTAACCTTGTTTATTTTGAAAACGCTTTTGTAAAGGCAGTACGTAATTCTCCCTTTTTTCAATTAATTTTTATTTTGGTCATTTTAGTGGCTCCAAAAGAGGAAAAAGCAGCTATTAGTTTTGTGTCGTTTTTCCGTCGGTCTGTTTAGATCGAAAATAAAAAAAAAATATTGAAAAAGCTGATGTCTCCTTAAAATCAAATTCAATTTAATAGAAATCAGAAATCTCATTATCAATAATAGGTTATTTAATTTGTTTTCAAATAAAAAGAAAACAATTACTTTAGACAATGAAAACAATACCATGACTTAAATATTCCTTGTCCATTGGAGGATCTGGATGGGGCCGCATGTGAGTTTGTGCGATAACACTAACTCTTGTTAGTAATTTTGTTGTTGATTATTTTCGGAGAAATCATGAAATAAGTATAGCTTCTAATTGTTTAATCTAGATCCTACTCGACAAGGAAAAATCTATGAACATGTTTAATCAAACGCTACAACGTTAAAAGGGTGCCTTTTTTTAGATGACATTTTAACACTAAAGTATAGAGTCTATATCAGGGGTTCTCAACCTGTGGGTCACGACCCCCTTGGGGGTCGATTGACGATTTGCCAGGGGTCGCCTTAGACCATCGAAAATATGGATTGTTAATGTCTATTCTTCTAATGCTGTGTCGCGGCAGAGTAGGGGATTATAATAAGGGGTCGCCGAGCAAAAAAGGCTGAGAACCGCTGGTCTAGATCTATATCCAGTAAAAATAGTAAAGACTGCTTGTCTGTGTGGTATGTGCTCTGGACTGTGGTCTCAATAGTCTCGGCTTCGAATACTGCCCCCCCCCCCCCCCAGCGGAGGGGTTAGGTAAGGGATTCTCAACCTTTTCAGCTCTAAGATCCTACTTTTACAATTTCCCCACTATGCGGCGAGCCATAATTGTAATTTTTTTTTTGTTACTAGTAACTGATTTTGCTTATACCAGTATTGTAAAATCTTCGTCCTAATTGAAATATCTGATTATGATATGCCTTGCCAAAATCTGTAAGTCTAATCACAAAACAATAGGTAATTATATTGCGTGACAATTGCGTCTGTATATATTTCTGCTTATAGGAAAATTAAATTACAAATGCATGAAATTTTATCTTTATGATTTGCATTTAATAACTTTTCTTTTGCTTATTCAACACAATAATGATGTATGGTTTAGTGACAATTTGAAAAGCATGGCGAATCACGGATAAAAGCCACGACCATATCAAACCACTGTGAGCTGGCGCTCCTAGATCTAATTTTTAACCTAATTTTATCTAATTTATATTATTTATATAGGCCAGGGCTATGATGTTTGTAATTCAGTGTCCTTTTTAATTTTTATAGTTCAGTGCTGAGTATTTTGTAGTTTCCGCTATTTATAACTTTCTGCTAGTTTAGTTTAGTTTAGTTTAATTGTGCTGTCTGGTTGCTTAGGCTACTATAGCCCCTTGGTCACCATACCGAGGTGCACAGATTGGGCCCACCAAGTAGAGCTACCATCTGCCTACTGTTTTAAAAATGAACAAATGTTGAGCAGCAAGTAACAAAAAGGCCTCACTCAGTAGCGCCACCCTGACCTGCTCACACCACATAGCTACAAATATTATTGTGACATTCTGAGCAAACAGTTGAAATTGAAAGGGAAGTTGAGCTTGTTTCTGTTTCACCAGATCAGGAATTCTCGGGTCAGTTTTCACAAGATCACAACGACGTTAGCTTATGTTTTTATGTTTGTTTGTTTTTAATACTGATAAAAACAAATTGATCTCTAAAAGATTTCACTGCAAATCCTGCAGTCTATGGCTTATTAGCGTTACACTTAAATAACCATTCAATTGCAATCTCCTACCTTGACATATTCCTGTGACAGGACTGCAATAAGCAAAATAAATGCTTTCCCGTTCTAATCAGCAATGACATAAGGTAGATTTCTTGGAAATAGATAAATAAATATCAAAATCGATTCTTGACCTGCCTTGAAAACATGCCATTGAAATAATAAATGCATTCACTATACTTGCTGCTTGCAAACGCGACCAAAGGTTAGAACGAATTCAAAGTAAGTCTGTAACTTGATTGAACAACAGTATGTGAGGGAGGCGTGGGGAGTTTCTCTTTCTGACCTTGCGATCTATGAGAGCAAAAGATGTCGCCAGCACAACGACCAACTGCCTTTATTTTTCCCATACTACTGTCAGGTACACGAAATTAAAAATTCCAGTCTTCACCTGTGGATTTGAACCCTGATTGTGATGGCCAATGTTTAGATTCCGAAGATTGAGTGCAATGTTTCTCATGACTAAGCAAACCTAGTTGCGGCCTGCAATATTTTTCCGCATCTCGTGCAGACAAAGCCGATGTCCGCTGGCGGTCTTTTTATGTTTTCTTTATCTTCTGCACCTGTCTTCAATAATGGCTTTTCTTTGGGTCTCAAATGTTTGTCCCGCAGCCTGTGGTAGAGCTCTCCAACTATTTGTTGCAAAGGCCATCTGCCGCCATCTACTTTCTTTTATGCTAGTAAGGGCGAACTGGCGCCTGAGTTCCACAAAATAGAACAAGACTTCTCAGTGAGTGTCCGTTAAGGGTCAAACTTGCGCCCTGTTAAAACTAAATGGAAGGATTTTACCCTGAGGCCAGGCTCTTCACCGATCACTCTGTCTGGAAGCCTACCCCCTAAATTAGTTGATCATTAAATCACACCCGTTGTTATGAGACATGGCTCCTTGAATCCCGCCTGAGTTCTCTCAAGAACCCCGAGACCGAGCCTACCAGGGGTTCCCTCCGTTTTTCTTATCTGTACCGCCTCTATCACTCCATTGAGGAACGGCTTGGCGGATGGGACGGTTTAGTAAAGCCTTTCATCCTTCCCACCTGCAGTGCTTGTTCGCTAGAACGTGATTTGGGAGCCCATTACCCATACTAACAGACGCTTCACGATAGGACCTGGAATGTAGGCCTACTCCCGAACACTACATACAGCAAGGTTCATTGACTACACACTTTCATTTTGATTTTTTTTTCCCACGTTTCCCTAGTCTTAACCCTTAAAGTGCTGAGTTGTTTAAAATGATATATACAAAATGGAATTACAATTCTGATGTTTAGAGGCTAAACTACCACACGCGTTTTAAGGGTTAATGGAGTAGTTAACAAACAAGTTTTTATACCTTTTTTGTTTTTTTTTACCTTGACGGAGTTATGATGGAGTGCCTTGCGGTTGTCTTCTAAAATTTATCAAAGGTTACCGTGACACGTTCATTTAAATATGCTGATATTTTTGTGGCATTCAGTTCTAAAAAAAGTTGTCAATGCACCAGTGTGTAAAGCCTTATCAAACTTCGATATTAAGAACCACTATGGCAGGACCATTAGCGAATTTAGCAATTTTAACTGTCATGTTTTACGCTAATAGTGTAGTGGTCCGACAGTTACGCTGGGCAGGGCACGTATCACGTATGGGGGACGAACGTATGCCAAAAGCAGTCTTTTCTCTTTTCTTTGGTTAGCTGAAAGGTGGTCGACGTTACAGAGGTGCCCCGCGGAGACGCTTTTAAGACCAGCTTAGGCGCCAACTTGCCTTAACTAACATAGAAGAGAGCACAACGTGGTTGCAGGCGACTTCAGAACGAGACAGCTGGAGGTCACTCACAAGAGCCGCGGGATACACATTTGTGACCAAAAGAAAATCCGCTGCCGAGGACAGACGCAGACGACGAAAGAAAATCTTAATCGACCACCGGCGGTCAATGGTTATGCCTGCACTAGATGTTGCAAAATATAAAGGTCGCAACTGGAGCTGCGAAGCCATGGGCAATGCTGCATTCCTCATTCATCTTCGGACTCGAAGACAAACCTTATTATTAGTGTGTACAATACCGGAGGAAGTACACAAGACTGTGGAGCCCCCTTACATAGTAATCTAGTTGATATTTTGCAGTGGTTGACTTAAACAGACTGGGCAAGTTGGATTAGGAAATGTTTAATCCATGGACTATTATGGATAAATTTGAAGAGATGTTACTTTGCCTACATTGATACAAAGTTCTGGATTTTAGTGGGGTTTTTTTACCAGCTATCAATGGCGTAGAAAGAATGTTTTGCTTGTAATTAAAAGTTAAGATCCCCTTTCAGGCCCACAGTTAACAAATGTCATGTGGTCAGCACAACGATCAACTGCCTTTACTTTTCCACGACTAATGACAGGTACCCATTAGAGTTGGGCGAACTCAGATGTGCCCGAGGATTCCAATATTAAATATACCAGTCTTCACCAGGATTCCAACCCCCTCCCCCCCGGTTCGGAAGCAAAGCACTTAACTGTTCAGCCACCGAGTCCCTTTTGTAATACAAAGACTCAAGAAAATCGGCTAAAAAGTTGAAATGAATACAAAGACCTCTCCAGGTATTTTTAAACAATTTATTTTTTCTTAAATGAGTTATTTACACATACGTCATTATTTTTCAATCAGATATATTAGTGTATTGAGAATAGCTGCTAAAATGAGGGCTTCAGGTTTGAACTTCATTATATCTTCCATATTTTTATAGATTTAGCTTTCAGATCAGCCCTAAAGAAAACACAAATCAGAAATTCTTGACTAGAAGGTTTGACAATTACTGAGTCACGTGAGACAAAAAAAACAACATTTGATTAAAACGGGTGCAAAAAAAAAAAATACTCCACAAGTTCATCTTTTACTGTCAATGGTAACATGATTGCAGTTGAGTTTGTAAATTTACAAAGTAAAATCATGTACTGGCAGCTTATTTATATTTAGTTCTGCCCTTTGAACTAAACAGAAATGTTCAAGGAAATGAATGTGTTTGTCTTCAACTTTTAAAACTTTTGTAAAAGTGAAAATATCATTTTGTGTATAGTGGATGAAACATTTTTTCAGAAAACAGAATAAACACACAATTATATCATAAAGTGTGGTGATGTTTTTGTTTTTTTTAACAAAATGAATTACAGCGAAAGTGTTGCCTGATCTAAACACAAGATAAAGAGTTGGCTACATTGAAATTTTCAACATCTTAAAATGGTTTAGTAACCAAAAATATTCCAAACCATCTTAAGTACAAACTGATTAAAATTGTTTAAATTAGCATATGCAAAAATATTTTGGATGCTACACAAAGTAACTAGTCAAAAGAATGATTGGATGTCTTAATAATGCCATTCATTGTGTATGTTTCTGGATTACTTTTTTTTTTACAAAGTATTGGGATGATTTATCAAAATATCACATTTTCCTAGTCCAAGCCTTAACTATGGTTTAAGTAGCTGTTATTTCAAAACAACCCTGTGCTTGGCACTTGCTTCAATTTATATTAAAATCAATGATTATGTTAAGCACAATTATCAAAGACATACTACAAGCTAGTTGTTTTGAAAACTGCACGTAATTTTAAAGGCATTTAACTCCCTTTTACCCCTTTAGGTCAGATTTAAAAATAGTAACATTTGGCTAAAAGCTAATCACTTGGGCACAATAGAGCCTATTCTGTGTTAAGTTTAGTCAGACCTATTTTTAATTCTTTGAAAATGAAAGTAAAATAATTGTGATGCCAAAAAGTTTACAAATATGTTACAAATCCAATTTGGCGTACAAGTTACATAAACAATTAGTGTATAATGTACATTTGTTAACATTATGAGTATCATATAATCACTTTACAAATTAAAAAAAAAATTGCCTATAACCTGTTTAAACTTTTTTTTTAAAAACTTTTCCAAGAAAATAATATTTAAAAATAAAAGTCTGTACTCATTCATTTTTTCAAAGGACAGAATTTTTTAAAAATATATTTGAGTTTCTCTTTCTCTGGAATCCAATTCTACAAGATCAACAAATAAGCACTGAGAGTGGTGCACCTAGAATATTTAATACCTAGTGGGGTAGCTCCTTTCTTTGAGACAACAGACAATTCAGACTTCAGTTTTTCTCAAAATTTGACTTATGACACTCTTATACAACAGATTGTGCTGACAGAGCATGGACTTGCTACAGGCAGATTGATAAATCGAGATCTCAGATTCAAAAGGTTTATATACATACTGGAGAGTACTTTGAAGTCACTCACCACCTGATGCCCTGTGCGACCAACAACCCCCTCAGATCGCTAGGTACACTTCTGGCTCAGTAGGATGTTTTATATTTACTAGTTGGACATTTCAAAGAAATAGTTTAATTCTTGTATCAAGTTTCAGACATACATATTTGTTATTCTTTCTATTGAATGTAATAATAAAGTTGAATAAAGACCAAAACATTATAACTATTAAATGTAATAATAAAGTTGAATAAAGACCAAAACATTATAACTTAAAGATTCATAATACACTTGTGTACCAGCAAAATTGAAGTTTTCAAATATCAGTTGATTCAAACTGATTTGCATCAAAATCAAAAACTTCATCCTCTTCTTCCCTGTCATACGGCTGAGATGGATCACTGTGTCTTTGCATAGGTCCTGACCTTTCATCGTCTACAAATACATCATTTAAGTACTGGAGTGGACTCGGCAGATTGGAAGGATCGGCGTAGGCATCATCACCACCATACATGTTCATGACCACTTCCTGTTCATCTTCTGCGTACTCTTGTTGACCCAAAGCATTCTTGTCTAAAGAGTTGTCAGATCTTTGGCTAAAAAATAAAGAAATCAATGTTAGACAGAACTGTTAATTGTTATAATAAGACTGGTAATACTGATGGAGGGCTGACTGACACTGTGGAATGTGCTTTGTAATATCATCATAATGGACCCAGTTCAAACCCTGCATGGTAATATGTCTTGCAGAGGGTTTAGGCTTAAGAAGTAATAGTTTATATTTGTGAATAAAAAGTTTGAAGATTACATGTTATGTCTATTGTCATATTGGTTGTAATGTTCATTGTGTCTGTAAAGAACTATGGTTTGTTCTTTGAGGGGCATAATTTAGTGCCCCAACTGTAGATCATTTATTAAAAGTGTTCAAATATTATAAAGTACACTCAAAGAAGGAGTAGAAAATTTTTATTTATTTGCAGCATTACAATGGGTTACACATACACTATAGAATACATAATCATCAATACTAAAAGTATTAAATGTGTCCTAATTAAGTATTCCAGGGCGCCTAGGCTAGATTCAATATTAGATTACTTAAGGGCGTTTTGACACAACATAGCACTACCACAAATATTTAGAACACACATAGCAAGAATAAATCTCCTTACTCTAGACATAACCGAAAACAATCACCAACACCCTACTCAGGCCAGGTCCGCTCTCCAACTGCCTAAACTGACCAAAGGAAACCTTATTAACCCTGTGCTAAAACAGTTCACAACTCAACTAATAAAATAAACAAACACACACACAATTTCACATCTTACACACCCCTGCTCTCAACAGTGTCATGAAAAAAAAATTCTACTAAAAATGTCTATCTGTGTCAGGGGCGTAGCTAGGAATTTTCTATCGTTTGGGGGCCCGGGGGCTTGGCCTCTTTGGGTGCCCTTGCATTTTGCGTAATATTTAATTTGCAATGTAAAAAACACTCATTTGGGAGCCCCTTCAAGTGGGGGCCCGGGGGGATTTTCAAATTCTCCCCCATCCTCCCCCCACCCTAGCTACACCACTGATCTGTGTATTCTTCTATGTTCTTATTGTTTAAGTTTCATTTTGTTTTATAACGAGATGAACTTTTTGTATGACAACTTAAAATTCACTCCATTTTATATTTCACAGCTTTTGGAAGTAATAAAATGTAGTAGAAAGAAAATGGAAACAGAAACTTTATGTAGGCAGCATTTTTGTTTCTTAGTAAGTCAAGTCAGACTGACACTGAGTTAGGTAAAGTCAGAATAAGACTGAGTTTTGTAAAGTCAGACTGACACTGAGTTTTGTAAAGTCAGACTGACACTAAGTTAAGTAAAGTCAGACTGACACTGAGTTAAGTAAAGTCAGACTGACACTGAGTTAAGTAAAGTCAGAATAACACTGAGTTAAGTAAAGCCAGACTGATACTGAGTTAAATAAAGCCAGACTGACACTGAGTTAAGTAAAGTCAGACTGACACTGAGTTAAGTAAAGTCAGAATAACACTGAGTTAAGTAAAGCCAGACTGATACTGAGTTAAATAAAGCCAGACTGACACTGAGTTAAGTAAAGTCAGAATAACACTGAGTTAAGTAAAGCCAGACTGACACTGAGTTAAGTAAAGTCAGACTGACACTGAGTTAAGTTAAACCAGAATGACACTGAATTAAGTAAAGACAGGATGACACTGAGTTAAGTAAAGCCACAATGACATTGATTTAAGTAAAGACAGAATGACATTGAGTTAAGTAAAAACAGAATGACACTGAGTTAATTAAAGACAGAATGACACTGAGTTAAGTAAAGCCAGAATGACATTGATTTAAGTAAAGACAGAATGACATTGAGTTAAGTAAAAACAGAATGACACTGAGCTAAGTGAAACCAGACTGATATTGAGTTCACTGACACTGATATTTACCTGTAAGAATCATAATTGTGACCACTGTCTGAATCACTATCTAAGGTGGCATCATCTCTATTAAATATTGGATTGGAACTGAAAAGGAAATAATTTAAGATAAAAAAAATGATAATACTAAAGGTCTGTCCCTAGCAGCTTGTCAGCTCATTAAATCAGTCTAGAGATAGTCTCAGAAAATGAACTGCCTTGAGGTCTAATAGAAAAGCAAAAGTTTGAGTATAAAGCAAACTTCAAGAATAAAAGCTATCATTAACAAGCATCAATCAGTGAGTGGTTGTGCCACCAAAACATTATAGGATTAAATTTAAATCTTTATATTAAATGAAATGTAAAGACTAACATAAGTATTTGTATATTGTATATTTGTATTACTTCAAATATGTTTACAAAAAAAATGTAAGTTCTCAAAAGAAAAACAAAACTATTGATTTTTCCAGAAAGAATTTGTGTAAAAACTGCTTGCCTCAGTATACACATTTAGATTAATACAATGGAAAAGCAAACATTCAGTAACATGATAAGACAAATATAGCTTACAGGCTTTATGTTTAACAAGTAGAATTCGAATATGGGTAAAACTATCAACCACTTTAGAATGTTACATTTCTAAGCTAAAATCCAATGTCTAAGCAGTAAATCAAGTTGTAGCAAAGGCAAAAGTTCAAACTTAACATACATGTATGACTAGATGAAGCAAAAATTCTTTAAAGCATTCTTTCTGTATATGCCACAATAGATACGGGCATGTATGACATAGATACAAAAGCTTGTAAGCTTACAGATGTAAATGAAAAGTGATATCATCCTCTATTAGCAATGTAGAACTAACGCTTGAAAATTGATAATGAAACTCTTAGGATTGGATACTGTCGCATTATTCATAATACAGCTTGAGAGGTTGTGTTGGTGATTGAAGCTTGTTGAAACGAGAACTTTGTTAAACAAAAATGTTTGCATGTAGACAACTTGAGCAATGGACTTGTAGACAGTAATAAAAAATTTGACCCAAACATAAGATCCTTTGATGGCAGACACAAACTCCACAACTCAGTAACTAAATAAGAAAGTGTACCTTAATAATGACCTGAAGGGATAATTGACTTATTTCTAGTAAGGGCCCCATTAATTTATTTAATAAGTAAATAAGACTATGACTAAGACTTCTTTGTTGATCCTAATTGGAAATTTTGTGCGATTACAATTAAAGACAAATAAAGCTCTGCAGCATCCTGTTTAAATTTAGAAGCTGACTGTTTTCATACGAGTAAACTGTTTAATTATCTGGCTAAACCCACTAGACTTTTAAATTAAGATTTAATCTTAACTTTTTGTCCAATGTTCCACTCATGTATTTTGCCTTTAGTTTGGTCATATGTTCAGCTAGCATGTGCCGCTTTTGTAGTTGGATCAACTGTATGCTAAATTTCTTTGACTTCCCTAACCCAAACAGCTGATTTAAATAAAGTTAAAAGTGTCGCACATTGATAAACACAGGACCTTGGACTATATTTGCAACTAATCATTAGGCTTTATATATTAAGCAATGATAAGCTATGAAAGAGCTGTAAAAGTCACTACAAAAGAATGGAATGAACTAAAAGAAATGAATTGAGTTTAAACATTTGAAAGTAAAACTAGATTCATTTCTAATAGGCTACTTACTCTTTTAATGGATTGTCAAGACCTGGGAATTTCATTGGCTCTAGACCTAAAGAACAAAAAAAAAAGATTAATGTTATACCACTTTTCAAACTATTTGCACATAAAACTTCAAATTTATTCAAACGCAGCAACAGAAAGTAATAAGAACCAAACTCACCATGAACTTCTATTGTTGCTGCTTTCAATTTCCTTTTAAACCTGAAAGATGTTGAATGACAATTATTGAATGGAAATCTGTCATATATAGAATAATCAGTAATTCATAAAAGTACACTTTTTTTTATAAGTCTTCCTTGCTTTCCTTCATATGAAACAATTGTTATTTGTAAAGCAAGTTACATAATAGAACACATCAAATATACAGATGGGTAATACTTAAGTGTGATAGCAGACAAAGATTTCCAATATGGCTATTATAAAGTAGGTAAAGATTTCCAATATGGTTATTATATAGTTGGCAAAGATTTCCAATATTGTTTTTATTATACTATACATAAAATGCAAATCATCCTCTTTCTCTCTTTTTTTTTAAATCTAGAAATCTAGTGTGAAAGGTTCGTCAATGAAAATGTCATGGGAAGTAACGAACTGTAAGGGAGATAAGAGCTAAATCAAATCCTGCCAAAATGATTATATTACTATTCTCTATAATTGTAAAAAAAAAAAAAAAAGTTTTATATTCTTTGAGTTGGTAGTTCAAATAAAATTCCTATGTTAAAAGTCATAAATAAATAATCTGTAACTTCCAAGTATAAAATATTACTATTATAACAAAAAATGTAACCCTATCAGATAATCAGTTAGATAAGATAATTTTAGGTTCTTTAGTGAGCCCATGAACCCACCCAGTTCCAATGGGTACCTGACAATAGTTGGGGAAAAGTAAAGGTGGTTATTCATTGTGCTGGCCACATGACATCCTCATCCACCTTGGTCCACAGAAACAGATGACCTTTACATTATCTACCCATTAGATTGCAAGGTCAGAACAGGGAGCTTAATTTTAAAATCACTATAATATGTGGTAACTAGAAAGTAAACACTTATGAGACATTTTGTTTTCTGGATAACCAATACAACCTTTTAGCAATAACACTACATAGTCTGATTTGAAACTATTAACCTACCTTCCTATATTGTGAATGAGCATGGC